CTTCCCCTCTCTTTCCCCTACTTCTCTCAACTGTTAAAAAAAATCTCTTGAGTTACCTTTTTCAGCTTAATATCTGAGGGACCTTTAAGGAATCCATTATAATTAATTTATGTCTCAGGAATTCTTTTAGCACTGGGGGACTTAGAAATGTTAGTGAAGTGAGAATCCCTGCCCTCCAGGATCTTGTAGGCTTCTGGAACCAGAGCATTGGAAGAGACCTTGGGTTTCTCATCAACAGTCCCCTCTCCCGCCATCATCCATCCTTAGCCTCTGCTTGTAGACACTCAAAGACCCAAAGGCAGCCTGTTCCATTGTGGGACAGCCCTCATTGTTAGGGAGTGTTTCCTGACATGTAGCCTCAGTTGGCCTTTTTGTATATTCCACTCTTTTCTCCTAATTCTCTCCTCTGGAGGCCCAGCAGAACAAGGTGGATCCATCACTCGTCAGATCCTTAGAAGGCAACCGTCATGTCACTGGTCTCTTCCTCTCCAGTGTTTTCTTTTCCAAGCCGAAGGTCTCTAACTCTTTTATATGCCGTGGACTCCAAAGCCCTTCATGTCCCAGTTCTAGTGTCTTTTCTCCATCATGGCGCCCAGAGCTGAACATGGCACTCTGGAGGTGGCTACCTCTAAACAGAAAACACACTGCTCTGGTTGATTGGTTATTGTCCTTAGTTCTCAAAGACGGCCAAAATGACATCATTATGTTGGGGTCAAGGTACAGTGTATCTGACTATGGCCCATCAGACCAGTACAAGCGTGGAAGGTTTGACCACATCTAGACAAGAAAACACAGTACTTTAGAGGTGTTCTGAGCAAGACAGAACATAGTCAGACTTACCTCCCTTATACTAGGCCCTGTGTTCCTCCTAGTAGCCTAACCAATGAATCCATCCATCAACTGAGAGGCATTTATTATTCACCTACTATGTACCAGACACTGGGATACAGTGTCCCCCAGGACAATGAATAAAACAATCCCTTCATGCAAGAAGCTTCCATTCTAATGGGGTACCCCGAAATTGCACTGGTGTCTCCTCTTTGGCTGCCGTATCATACTGTTAACTCAGAACTTTCTCTTTTCAGACAAGCTAGATTTCACCCATCTTAGAACTAGTGAAGTTGATTTTCAAGATGATTGGCCCAGGTGGTCCCTAAGGGTCTCTTCTATATCCAGCATTCTCTGATTCTGTATATTTAGTCTTGTCTCATATTTAGTCTTGCCTTGAAAGCAGAAACATTTCTATGTTAATAGCTCAAACACTGACTTTCGTAAGTAAATGGAAGCTCTGGGTTTTAACATTTTTCCTTTTATTTTAGATGTGAGAAGTGAGGTCAGCTTAATTGAGTAAATCTTTTTTATTATTATTATTGTTACCTCTGCTGGGAACAACACATATTAGGTACATTCCTAGGTATGGATATCTATAGATCATAGATACAAAGATGTAAATCAGGGGAAATTGTAGAGAATATGTCCCAGTGCCTTTGGAATTTGTAGGGAGACAAGAAATACACACATGAAGTGTTCATTTGACAAATGCTTATTAAATTCCAAAATACCTGGAGAAGGAATAGTTTTGGCTATTGGAGAAAGGGCTATGGATTGGGAGTCAGAAGACCTGAGTTTGAATCTCACCTTCCTGAATGAATAATCCACAGTATCTCTAGCTGGAAGAGCCCTTTGGGAATCATCTTATGCAGCCCTGATATTTTACAGGGGAGGAAACTGAGGCCTAGGTAGTTTAAATGACTTGAATGAGGTCACCCCATCAATATCAATGGTAGAGTTGAAATCTACATTGTCTGGTTCCCGAGTCATGGTTCTTTCTACCCCATCCTCTTGAGGACGATATAGTCTAATTCATTATTTAACAGAAGGGGAAAAAAAGACTCAGAGACATGCTCGTGGCCATATGGTGAATTAGTGTCAGGGCTGGAAATGGAAGCTAGGCCTTCTGACTTTGAGTGAGGACTCAAGCAACGTGAATTTGAGTGTGTGTGTGTGTGTGTGTGTGTGTGTTTCAAATAAGAGGGAAGTGGGGGTGAAGTTAATGTGTTGAGTATGAGTAATTAGCCATTCCCATCACTGACATCCCCAGTGACAGGATTGGAGTGCCTTCATCCTTATGCATGGCGCTCCTAGCCTATGCCTTAAATTTCCTCTGTTTCTTAAAATGCATTGAGTGAATTGAAAAGGCTTAAAGCTAGGCTTGGTCAGACCATACCATTATGAGTTGCCCTCTTGATGGATGCTGGCGGGGAGCAAGGGAGAGGGGAGGGGGATTTTAAAATGCATTCAACGGTGAAAATTGACTGTGGTAGTTTCAGTAAATTATCATCATGCTTTGGAAACCGATGTATTTATTTCAAATGAGACTTTTAGTGTCTGTGGCATGCCTCACCAATGTGAGTACTTTAGAGACTAGAAATAAAATGAAGTACCTGACCTCAAGGAGCTTACCCGTCCAGTACTGATTTCAGCTAGGCATTCTGTAGAATGTAGGGCAGGGCGCGTTCAATTCTGTCTTTGTATCCCTGGTGCTTCACCCTGTGCTTTGCCTTTAGGGAACATTTCATGAATGCTTGTTAAGTTTCTGCTAAGGTGGGTACAGTGGTTAGAGAGGTAGGTGCTATTATCCCCATTTTACAATTGAGGAAACTGAGGCAAACAGGTACAGTGACTTGTTCATGGTCACACAGCTAATGAGTATCTGAGGCTGGATTTGAACTTAGGTCTTACTGACCCCCAGGTCTAGGGCTCTATCCACTGTGCCACTGTGCCTCTGAGACAGATGCTATTTTCATCTGTATTTTGCAGATGAGAAAATGAAGGCCCAGAAATCTTAAGTGATAAGCTCAGGATCACACAAGTGTGTGTCTCAGATGCAGGATTTGAACCCAGGTCTTCATGATTTCACTTCTAGTATCTATCCTTTAGGCCCAGCTTCCTTACTGAGAACCTACTACCTGTCAGCTCTTCACTCACCATAAGGAATGCAGAGATGAAAAATAGCATTGTCCCTGCCTCAGGGAGCTCACGCTCTAACGCACCTTTGAGCAGACTGGTGAAGCCCACAGCCCCTTTCTCAGATTTCAGTTAGAGACTAGTGAAACTAAAGATGTCATTTTTTCCCATCCAAGGTTACAGACCCCCTGAAATCTATCATTGGGCCCTTTGTGGAGGGTGGTCTGTGGATCCTGGTTAAAAGTCCCTGCTCTCTTTCTAACCCCTCTCTTAGAAGAAGGTTGGATTCTGGAGAGTACATTGGACGGAACCACGGATATAAGAGTTGGAGGTTCCGGGTTTGATTCTCAGAAGGGCTGGGAGGGACCTCTGAGGTTTTCCTAGTGTAGCTCCCTCATTGTACAGATGAGGAAACTGAGGCTGACAGATGAAGTGACTTGACCAGGGCCTCACAGCCGATTGGCGTCTGAGGTGAGATTCAAATCCACCTGGCTCATGCGTACTGTGCCTCACCCACGTTTAGTGGGGTGCCTTAGACGTCTCCATGTATTTGGACCATCAGATACAGCAGAATGATTTTCTCATCCCCTTAAAGGGGAGTAAGAAACCTTTCTTTTTTAAAAAAATCCCCTTAAAAATTATGGATTCCTCAGCTGCATGTTAGGCTATGTCTTCCACGTGAATTACCTTGGAAATCATATCCTCTTGTCATCTGGGATGATAAAGCCAAACACTTTACTCAGATTTTTTGGTAGGTTCCTTAGTAAGGAACTTCTCTATACCTCAATTTCTTCATCTCTAGAATAGGATTTCAGAGGACCTTTCCCCAGGCACTTGGTGAATTAAATCGGGGAGCTTTTAGTAGGTGTTTGGGGGGATACCGAGGAAAGGAGGCAGGATCTGAGGGGACACCGAGACCACCTGTGCTGGGCCCTGAAGGTGGAGAAAGAGGAATTTGAGGAGGGAGGGGATTGTGTTTAATAGGACAGCCCTGCCGTCATGAATTTGGATTCATTCTGTTTTGACTTTATTAAAAAATGGTAAGGGTGTGTGTATAGGTGTGTATCTGCATGCATGCGAGCATGCAGAAGTGTGTGTTGATGGGCGTTGCTGGTTGCTAGCTCCAGGAAGCAGGACAAGCAGTAAATGAAAGGTCTTAACAGGAAGCTGGAGACAGATGTCTGGAAGAGGAAAAATCTCTTTCATCACCTTAATGTTTTTTTAAACTTTCTGTGGTCATACCCATGTGCCATACGTGTATTCTGAAGTCCATGGTCACCTCTCCACCTGGCTTCAGGCTCGGGAACCCTTCCTTCTTTCCTCTCCCCCAATGACCTTGTCTCAAGGGCAGACCAGCAGACAGGAACTGAAAACCAGCCTTGGTTTTCTGGCAACGCTGGGAAGAGAGAGGGAGCTGAAGGTAGGGGGAGAAGGCCCTGCTACCATCTCTTCCTCGATGTCTTTGTCCTTCCTTTGCCCCTTGACCTGGAGCTGCCCTGGGCAACCTCAGGCGACATGGACTCCACAGAGAAGAAGCAAATGATGGAGATAGCTCAGTCTCAGCTCCTCACAGAAACAAACAGATTGCGATGCTGTCTGTCTCTCTTCTCCCTGCCCTGACTTCCCACTTCTTTTCCTCTCTCGGGAGATTTTCCTTCTTCACTCTTTGTAAGATTGGAAAGAAAAGTTGAGTTAGATGAGATGCCATGTGTAACATGCTTTTCAAGCATGATATAAATGCAAACTATTATTCAAAGTAGGTGCTTGGTAGGGTGAGAGAGTCAATCAGTCAATCAACAAGTCTTGATTCAGTGCTACTCTGGGTCAGCCACTGTACCTGGCACTGGGCTACAGAGGAGAAACAGAAACGGTCCTTGCTCTCAAAGACCTTCTCTGCTCAATTTGGGGAGAGGTGGAGGGACTACACACAACATTTAGAGGAAGGACAAGGAAGTTTCTGATTTCCCTCTTAGCCCTGAGATGTTGTGATACCATGGAAACCTGGGGTAGTGACTCCGTGTTTCGGATTGAGTATGCAGCAAGTTTATCTATTTAGAACAGACTGCCGGCAAGAAAGCAACGTAGGCCTCTGATTATCTCAAGTCCAGCAAGGCTGACAGTAGGGGAAAGTTATTACTGGCAGTGTGTGTGTGTGTGTGTGTGTGTGTGTGTGTATGTGTGTGTGTGTATGTGTGTGTGTGTGTATGTGTGTATATGTGTGTGTGTGTGTGTGTGTGTGTGATAGAATCAATCAGTCCAATAGTCAACTAGCATTGCTTAAGTGCTTACTGTGGTGTAGCAAGCACTGTGATCATAGTACTTAGAACAACAAGGGAAGGAACCCATTTCTTAAAGTGACAGAGGAGAGGACAGACCCTGAGATATGAAATGAGATGCCCAAAGTCACGTAAGTAGGTGAGAGCCACAGACTAAAAAGAGTCTAATAGTCTGGGACAACCCATTAGGCCTCTCTTGGCAGGCCCTGACTGTGAGTCTGCAGACGTGGCTCTCTGTGACTTCTCTCTGCCTTATTCCTCATGTGCGAAACTCGGGGTCTCTCAGGCTCATAGGTCTAGAGCTGAAAGAGGCCATCTCATCCAACCCAAGGGGGAAGCTGAGGCCCAGAGAAGGGAAATGACTTGCCTAAAGTCCCACAGATTCAGGAGTCCCAGATAGCTGGAGATTTACCCTGTGTGCATCTGTCTTTGTGGTCACTTTCTTGAAGGAAGGATGGCATACTTTTTGGGTTTTCTTGGAATTTCCCTGCATCATAGAAGAGGAGATAGAAGGGACCTTAGAAACGTTGTAGTCCAACCCCTTCATTTTGTAGATGTAGAAACTGAGGTCAGAGAAGTGGTGGTAAGCCTCAGAGGTGAGATTTGAACTCAGGTCCTCCGACTCCCTAGCCTGGGCTCTTTCCACTGTCCCTCAGCATCCTCCTCTGTTTTGTGGCCATACCCTGGAGCTTCCAGCTCGGCCATGGACCCCCAGGCATGGGGTATCAGAGGGAGTGGAGACTGAAGGTGACTCTTCAGGCATACCATTGACAAGCTGGGCATATGGTTCGTGTTGTTTTCCCTGTGTCGGAGGAGGATTTTCACCGCTCAGCCAGCCGCCCCTCGTGACCAGCAGCACGTTTGCCAAGACTGCCGACATCAGGGAAGCTAGCTGTCTGTGGCCACGGACGGGAGGTAACTAACTAGCTTGTGACCACCACCTGGGCTCTGTCTGGTAAATGGATCACCCTGGCTTCTGCTGGGACAGTTCAGAGCACGTCTCCTCCCCAAGGTCAGCTGCACCTTCGTCTGCGTGTCAGAGAAGGCACCAGGGCCCTGACCAGCTTAGGTGTGGGTTGTCCTGCGTGGTCCCTGTGGTCCCTTCCAAAGGGAGCATCCAGGATCTGGAGAAGCCCTGAAGAGCTGTTTTCAGGAAGCGGGAGAGTTGGGTCCCTGACACAAAAAGAGGGTCTGCCTGGCGAGTGCGGCGAGCAGATGGAGCCGTGGCAGGCCGCCTCATCCCCCGGCAACTGCAGGAGTAGGCCTTTCAAATGAAGCTCAAGAGAACCGAGACCCCCCAGCACCCTCCCTTTACATCTGAGAACCTAATTCTACGCTTCCTATGTACATTTTTCTTAGTACATCGCGCTAATTGATAGAGGTGGAAAAGGACCACTGTCTTTGTTTGATGCTAACACCTTTGAGTTAATTACGTCTTTGTCCTTACATGCCTCACATCTGGAGGACCAGCCTCTGGCTGGGATGTGCTGTCCTTTCCTAACTGGGGCGTCTGCTCTCTGGGCCTCTGGAGAGAAAACTGTTTTAATATAGAAAAATAGTAGGGAGGAAGATATACATCTGATCACAGCTTTTTAGAAGTGTGTTTTAACCAGAAATAGAAGAGACCGAGGTGTTTACCCTCCCTTTCACAACAGTTTGTGAGACCCTCCAGTGGTCCCAAAGCACTTGGGAAGCATTGGACCAGATGTGAGGTAGAGTTAAGCCTTATTTAGGGGGATGGTGGAGATTTTATGTTTGATATTGTTTTATTTAAAATTGATATTATTTTGTAAATACTTGTTGGCTTTAAATTCAGTTGAGTCTAATTACAGCGGAAAGAGCTCTGAACTAAGACCTGATGTGTCTCCCTGGCTTTGTGGTAGCTAGCTGTGTGACCTTGGGGAAGTGACTTGCCCCCTCTGAATGTCTGTCTCCTCCTCCATAAGACTGGTCTAATTTCTGACCCGTCTGCATTGCCTGCCTCCCTCGGTGCTTTGTCAACTCTGCACGGCTGCGCCAGGGTGAATTATTGTTATTATCTTATGGTTCTCTCTTCATTACTATCATCACCACCATTATTAGTATTGCTCGGAGGAAGGAGGAGTCCGATGGGATGCTCTTGGAGCTTTCTGCTGTTCCTCTTCATGCTGTGACCACCATTCACAGTTACTACGAGGCACTTTGTGTTCAGTCGAAGTCCATTTTTAGGGTGAGGACTGACCTGAACCCAGGATGAGACCAGGAGAGAATTTTTTTGTTTTGTGGTGATGTAGTCTTCTGATCTTAGGAGTTCTCTCCGAACCTCAGTTTCCTCATTTGTAAAACACCCTGAGGATCTTGATTTCACAGGGTAGTGGTAAGTAAACAAAGAGTTGTTTTGTTTTGTTTTTTTATTCGCAGGGCTCTTGTATAAAGGAAATGTTAAAGATGATAACAGTCATTATCACAATGGAAGCAGATAGGATTTCATCAGTGGTAATGACTTTAAGAGAAGGCATGACCGTCTTCCTTGGCTGCTGCACCCTAAGGACCAGCAGACCTTTTCCATCTGACTTGCAGCTGAAGCCACCCCCCATTTGTCTTGTGTCCCAGGGACTGTCTGACTTCTGTTTGTATACTCAGTACTTAGCATGGGGCTTTGTACATCGTAAGTGCTTAATAGATGCTTTTTCATTCATTCATAGTGATATCGTCCAGAAATAACTAAATAAAAAAGAATAATAGGAAAGCTACTTGCCCCAGCAGCGTTTCCATTAGAAACCACATGAAGACATGGAAAAAGGGCAATGAGAATAATGACGATGCCATTATTTCCTATGATCATAATCTCATTGTCCTTGTGGGTACAGAAATGCCAGGGAGACTGTGTTGGAGAAGTTGTCCAATGGTCCTTTGCAGCTGCTCGCATCATCCCTCCCACTATGATTTTGGGAGTGGGGCTTCTGAGCATCGCTCGGATTCTCAAATGTATCCATACAGAATGGTGCCTGTTCACTCCCTGTCTTCTTTCTTTATGAAACATCTAATGAAAAGGTACCAAGTCTGATCTGGCTGGCACAAGTGTGTGTGTGTGTGTGTGTGTGTGTGGAGGGGGATCCCCCCCAGCTTTAATAGAACTATAATTTTAATCATGGTTATTACTTTATGTCTTAATTATAATTTGGTGTGGCTTAAATGTACATTTCTGCAGGTGATTGTGTAATGAAAACAGGAATTAGCTTTTCATTAAAAAAATAACAAGAGCTCTTCCCCTTGCGTTTCTCTCTGTGTTCTCTGTTCCGAGTCTCCACACAGGCCTAAAACAAACACGTGGAATTGAATATTACAGTTCAAAAAAAAAAAGGTCCCAAATTGGCATTTTGTGCGTATGTGTATGTGTATGTGTGTGCGTACACTTGCATGTGGCCGTGTCCTCCCAGATGTGTGATGGGTACTTAACAAGCGCTTATCAGTGGATGGATTTCTCTCTAAAAACCCCAAAACTCCTCAAAGAGAGTTTGATGCTGCTTTTGCAAGGTGGCAAGCTTATTTTTTCCTCTTTGATTTTTCGTTTAGATAATTAGCACCATGGAGCCTCAGGTATCAAACGGCCCTACATCCAACACGACCAACGGACCGTCCAGCAATAGTCGAAACTGCCCTTCGCCCATGCAGACCGGGGCCACCACGGACGACAGCAAGACCAACCTCATCGTCAACTACCTGCCCCAGAACATGACCCAGGAGGAGTTCCGGAGCCTCTTCGGCAGCATCGGGGAGATTGAGTCCTGCAAGCTTGTGCGTGACAAGATCACAGGTACGTGCCCCTCCCGCCTCCTGGACCGACCACTGAGGGGCTGTCATCTCCAGCCGGGCCCCCCTCCCCGTGCTTCCTTGAATGTCCCCTCGCACACAGACCTCGCTGCATGGCCCTCAGACCACACGGCGACTTTCTGGGCTGGAATGGTCCACAGGTCTATGCTTGGGTCAGTCTGGGGCCATTGAGCTGGCTTATGCCTCTGACCAAGTGTCCCTGAGGTTTCATCAGTTCTCATCTCTTTGCTCTTGGCCTTCTCTTCCCTTCTTCGTTCCCAGATGTTGGCATGGGGAGCTCCTTTAGGGAAAGCTTGGGCGGATGGTTACTCAGCCTTCCTCTGCTCCCCATGGGAAGGGCCCTTTCCCCTATTAGGTCTGTATAGTTGTGCCAGACCTGGGTGGCCCTGCTGTGATAGGGGGACAGGGGGCTAATAACAATAACATTATAATGATTATTATTTTAAATTATATACTATTATTAATAATTTATTAAAACAGAATGCTTTAATGTTTACAAAGTTCCTCACAAGGGTCCTGGAAGGTAGGAAACCATCTTATCCCCATTTTATAGATGAGGAAACTGACACTCAGAGCTTAATCAGTTGGCTCTTAAGGGACCGGTCTTCTTATCCACTCCTTGACACTTCTTTCCTCGCATAGACTGTCCCCCAAGTCTGGAAAGTGCTCCTTCCCCTCCCACCTCAGAAAACCCAGCTGCCTTCAAGATTTCACCGCAGCGACCACTTCCCACAAGACCTTTCTTCATCCCCTTTAGTTACTGGCGCTCCCCACCCCTCAGTAATGACCTTGTGTTTGTCTTGTGTATGTTTTATAGTAGTTAGAGAGAAGGCTTAGGAGCCAAGAAAGCCTGGGTTTATCTGTGTCTGACAGATGCTGGCTGCATCACCCTGGGCAAGACTCTCTCTCACACACACACACACACACACACACACACACACACACACACACACAC